AATACAAATGCTGGTATTTTTCTCAGTATAAACAAGAGATTACTATGCAATACCAGCACTGGCCAGTAGGGGTCGCTGTGTGTGGAGACAGGCAGGGATAGGAAGTTCCAGTATATCCCCCCCCTGCCTATCTATACTCACTGATCTGCAGGGGTGCAGCTTCAGAGAGTCCAGACAGCAACTCCCACCCTGCAGAGACAGCCTACAGGGGATGGGGGGAAAGGCTGCAAGGAGACATACACTGAGACACTAAGGGACATTGGGAGACATTGTGACACAGACACATGGGGACACAGTGTCCCCATGTCTTCCAGTGTCCCCATGTCTCCCAGCCAGTGTCCCTGGTGTCTCAGTGCCCCCTAGTCTCCTAGTGCCCTCAATCTGCCAGTATCTCACTGTCCCCATGTCTCTCAGTGCCTTAAGTGTCACAATGTCCCAATGTCTCCAAGCTAGTGTCCCTAGTGTCTGTGGCCCTGGTGTCTCCTTGTCCCCATGTCTCCCAGTGCCCCCATGTCTCAATGTCCCCATGTTCCCCAGCCAGTGTCTCTAGTGTCTGTGTCCCCATGTCTTCAAGTGTCCCCTATTTTCCCAGTGTCCCCATGCGTCCCAGCCAGAGTCCCCTAGTCTCCCAGTGTCACTGGTGTCTCTGTGTCCCTAGGTCTCCCCATCTTCCTAGTGACATGGGGACCCTGGGATACATGGGGACACAGGGATACATGGGGCATTGAGACACTGTGATACATGGGATCACTGGGAGACCTGGGGACACGACACTAGGGGACACTGGGAAACATGGGGCACTGAGACAATGATACATAGGAACACTGAGACCTGGAGTAATCGACACATGGGGGCACTGGGAGACATGGGGCCACTGGGAGGAATCCATCTATACAGCAGAATCAAACTAAGTAGTTTTTTGGTGATTTTACAGCATTTTCTCTTATGTCACTCCTTGTGATTTACATCATGTGATGTCACCCATACATATTTAATTATGCAAATTAGCAAGGCCGTTTTTTCCAAAAAAGGTGGCAACCCTAACTACTTTTCACATACTCTTACTTAAGTATGGAAACTTAAGAGGGATTTATGGGAACAAAACTTGTTTGGACTGGCTGACAATGAATATAGTTAAAGGGACACTAGAGTCACCAGAACAACTACAGCTTATTGAATTTGTTCTGGTGAGTAGAATCATTACCATCAGGCTTTTTGCTGTAAACACTGTCTTTTCAGAGAAAATGCAGTTTTTACATTACAGCCTAGTGATAACTTCACTGGCCACTCCTCAGATGACTGTTAGAGATCCTTCCTGGGTCATGGCTGCCTAAAATGCATCCAAACATTCAGTATCTCCTCCCTCTGCATGCAGACACTGAACTTTCCTCATAGAGATTCATTGATTCAATTCATCTCTATGAGGAGATGCTGATTGGCCAGGGCTGTGTTTGAATCAAGCTGGCTCTGCCCCTGATCTGCCTCCTTGTCAGTCTCAGCCAATCCTATGGGGAAGCACTATGATTGGATTAGGCCACCACTTCTAATGATGTCAGCAGACTGCTTGTTTTTCTGAGTCTAACAGCATGCAGAGTTACAGCTTCAGGCTTGAATACAGTAAGATTTTGCTATATTTATGGAGGCATGAGGGGCCCAGGGGTGCTAGATGGTGGTGTTAACACTATAGGGTCATGAATTAATGTTTGTGTTCCTGACCCTATAGTGATCCTTTAAGGTAATGCTGACTTTGGTCTCTCTAACACTGTGGCATGTTCCCTTTCTTCTACACAGCTTTTCTCTGTCCCAGACTATATACCAGGAGCTTCTGCCTGCTAGTAAGAAGGTAAGGAGACAAGTGGACCAGCGAGTGCTAGGGAACAGTCCTTAGAAAGCGTTGAGCGAGCTCATCATTAGATGCATTTATGCCAAGCTCAGGGTGCTGTCTGCATAGTAAGCCCCTAGTTGGCCAGCTGCATGATTGGCAGGCAGCCTGACATGCATTCATGCCAGGCTGGCCTTCTAATTCTTTGAGCAGACATATCCTCTTTTTGGGCATGTTCGCCCCTTTTGGCAGGTTACGTGATTTGTGTCAGTGGCACACCCTTTTACCGTGCCCATTGACTTCCTGCTTGACTGTACACTGCTGTTAGGGGTTATGGATTTACTTGAAAGATTAAAACATAAATTATAGAGAGATTAGCCTAGGGTATGTGTTTTCTTATAGCTGCTGTTTTCTTTCTCTCCAGCACCATCTCCATCACATACATGACGCTTGGGAGTGTTTTACTGTTTTTGGTCGATACGATTCTGTAATTAGGCCCGTCATAATTGTCAGCACCAGGCCCACTGGGCTCTTAATCTGGCCCTGAGAGCAACAGTTGGTGGTTTTAACACTATATGGTCAGGAATACATGTTTGTGTTCCTGACCATATAGTATTCCTATAAATGTTTTCACAGCTCCTTTTTGTATGATTTGTAAATATGACTCTGCCTGGAGTATTAACAATAGATATTATTTTTCTGTTAAGTTTACTCTGCTAGGTTGAACCAATTCACCAGGGGAATCAGGTAGGTTGTCTATGACATGGACCTTAAAAATAAAAGTACAAATGTACATGTAACGTATCAGCTGGCACCCCGACTGGGGACCTGCTTCCTAGCTGACGCCGAGGACTATATGCACCGCACTGGACACCACAACCACCGCAGACTCCACAACCGCCGTAGCTTAACTGGAATCTCGCCGTCTTCCTTCCACCCTGGATCAACCTCTGACATCCAGGACGGGTGTGGGAAAGACCTCTCCTCCAGGAGAGCATAACAGGAACAGGCTAAGTGATTAGAGCCCAGTGGAGTATACAAAGTATAGCAATCCCCAGTGTGACTATAGCAGTTCCCTACAAACACGAGACTACGTATTGAGGGTGTGGCGGAACCAACCTCGCCACTGTGCACTGGAGAAGCCTGGTTGCTCGCCTGCTCCCTTTAGATTATGGCCCTGCAGTTCAGAGCTGTTATTCTCCCTGCTGAAAGGTTTATTCGTGCCTTTCTGCCAGGGGGTTCGGTAGATTCCATCTACCGAACAAATTACCGAACGATGGACCACCTGGGAGCTGGAGTGTGCCGTCAATTGACCGCCCAGAAGCTGCGGTTAACCACAGCTTAATTGATGAACGCTGGGTGGCCTTTGTTCATCTGCCGAACACGTGGCAGCGGCCATTTTACCCCCGAGTGGCCAGCGGTGTTCAGCGCCCAAACTATGGAACTGAAAACGGACACTTATTGGCACAAACACCGCTGAGCCGCCAGCCTCCTTACCTTCCCATTCGGTAAGCAGAACCGAATGACTGTTCATTCGGTAGTTTCGCCAGATGAACAGCATCCCCCAGATAGCTAAGCCATGGAGCCTATTCGTGTAACGAAAGACTATGGGAAAGACTTTGGCTCCATGGTGATTGAACTGTATGTATGTGATCTGAGCGCCATTCGGTAGTAATGTGCGCTCAGATCTAAGCTATCTGGGATATGTAGAATGTATATGTTTTAGGTAATAAATGTGACTGTATGTAATTTTATGTCTTTTACTGTATTGTTACTGCCATGTGGTTGCCTCTGTCCTGGGAGATAAGTGGATTACTTCCCAATTATCTCCAGGACAGAGAGGAGGGATTGTGATGTAATTGTGGGAGTGTTAAAGGTGTATGTCTGTGATTGGCTAAGAGCCAATATGTTTCCCAGTTTCACATTTGGTCCCCTAGGGGAGTGTCCACCAGGGAGACCTGCATAAAAGCCGGGCAGTTAGCCCCAGTAAACCAGTTCCTGCTTAACCCTCAAAGTGAAGTGTCGTCTCATTATTGAGGGAGGATTTACTGTATGCTGTTAGAGACTGATTGCCAGGAGTGTAAGCCGCTTGGGGGCTTTTCCCGTTTGTCTGCTAGCAGCTATTCGTGTGTCTCCAGTTCAGGAGTTTCGAGTATTCCCTTGGTTGCAGTTCAGGAGTTGGTGAATTCGTGGGTTTGCAGTTCAGGAGATTGGTGCTTGCAGTAGCTGTCGGTGCAGCTGAAAAAGGGGAATATCGCCTAAACGGTTTTTAACCTCTTGTGGGCAAAACGGTCCGTTACAGAGGGTTAAGCAGATCTCTGGTTTAATGGTACATCTGCTTCTTTTATACAGTATTTCCCCACAAGGTTACCGCCCACGTGGACCTTGTGGGGCACAGGACATGAAATGCATAATCCAATAAAAACAGAGTTTTACACTTGAACACTCCCAGTTACTGTACACAAACCCTCCCTCTGCCTGTGATACAATTAACAAAGACAATGGACTAATTCAATTAACTTAAGCAGAAAAAAACATACATTTTTACAAACCACAAAATACAACCTATCCTCACAGAGTCACATCCCCTCATAGCCCCCATCTGGGAGAACAACATGTCCAAAAATGACCCACATCGGTTCAGGGGTTCAGGAATTTCCTGGAAGTCTTATTTTTGCCCCACCATGCACATGGTCCCATGCCCAAAACAGTTCCATACACTCGGCGACAAAACACTGCTGGACAATTTTAGATGGCTGCCACCACATGTTTGAATCTGTTCCAGTTAAAAGCCCAAGGGGCAGAAACAGTACTTTTGAACATGGGTTATCACAGGGCCCATAGTACCAGGGTAGGAGGCAGGCAAACAGGCCTCTCCAAAAACTAGTGGCGAAGTTGCTTTCATCATAGTGCAAATTAAAATGAATGTATAATTTGGGGAATGTGATGATTCAGCATGTTAAAAAAGAACATGTCTAGAAATATTACCACAGTGTAGAAAAAAAGCATAAAGTTTATATCTTTTAGATATATATGTAGATATATCGATAAACAATTAAGCCTATATTTTCTGTCATTCTAGATTACAGGCAGATGAGGAAGAGAGAAACATATTTGAATCTCGATCGAGAATATACTAATGAAAGACTTCCTTTGGGTAACAATGAATTTTTTAACAATGTTCGAGACGAACGCTTCCAAAACAGCGAGCTGGAAACGTGTCCTCCATGTACTACAGCCTACACTACATCGTATGTGACGCTGACTATGTATCGGAGTACTTTAAATACAACAACATCACAAACTACAACTTCCTTCACACCATTGATAACAACATCGGAAATCTTAAACCAAAACACAACTACAATTATAACTCCTACAGTACCGAGAAGCACTAGGCCAATAAATAACACAATAGCATCAAGTACAGCTGGTACAGACACGGATACAACTACAATAGCACTGAGTACTGCACAAGTTGGCATGGAAACAACTAACACAACTATATCAAGTACATCTACAACTTATACAACTGACACAACTATACCAAGTACAGCTACAACTGATACAAGCAACACAACTATATCAAGTACAACTACAACTGATACAACTAACACCACTATGTCAAATACAGCTACAACTGATACAACTAACACAACAATATTAAGTACAGCTACAACTGATACAACTAACACCACTATGTCAAATACAGCTACAACTGATACAACTAACACAACTATATCAAGTGCAGCTACAACTGATACAACTAACACAACTATATCAAGTGCAGCTACAACTGATACAACTAACACAACTATACCAAGTACAGCTACAACTGATACAAGCAACACAACTATATCAAGTGCAGCTACAACTGATACAACTAACACAACCATTTCAAGTACAGCTACAACTGATACAACTAACACAACTAAAGCAAGTACAGCTACAACTGAAACAACTAACACAACAATATTAAGTGCAGCTACAACTGATACAACTAACACAACCATTTCAAGTACAGCTACAACTGATACAACTAACACAACTATACCAAGTACAGCTACAACTGATACAAGCAACACAACTATATCAAGTGCAGCTACAACTGATACAACTAACACAACAATATTAAGTGCAGCTACAACTGATACAACTAACACAACCATTTCAAGTACAGCTACAACTGATACAACTAACACAACTATATCAAATACAGCTACAACTGATACAACTAACACAACAATATTAAGTGCAGGTACAACTGATACAACACCACTGAGAACTGCACCAGTTGGCATGGCAACAACTAACACAACTATACCAAGTACAGCTACAACTGATACAGCTAACACAATTATATCAAGAACAGGTACAATTGATACAACTATCACAACTATATCAGGTACTGGTACAACTGATACAACAGCACTGATTACTGCACCAGTTGCAATGGCAACAACTAACACAACTATATCAAGTAGAACTGCAACAACTAACACAAGTATATCAAGTGCAGCTACAACTGATACAACTAACACAACTATATCAAGTACAGCTACAACTGATACAAACAACACAAATAAACCAAGTACAGCTACAACTGATACAACTAACACAACTATACCAAGTGCAGCTACAACTGATACAACTAACACGACTATACCAAGTGCAGCTACAACTGATACAACTAACACAACTATACCAAGTGCAGCTACAACTGATACAACTAACACAACTATATCAAGTGCAGCTACAACTGATACAACTAACACAACTATATCAAGTGCAGCTACAACTGATACAACTACACACAACCAAGTACAGCTACAACTGCAAGTGCAGCTACAACTGATACAACTAACACAACTATATCAAGTGCAGCTACAACTGATACAACTAACACAACTATACCAAGTGCAGCTACAACTGATACAACTAACACAACTAAAGCAAGTACAGCTACAACTGAAACAACTAACACAACTTTATCAAGTGCAGCTACAACTGATACAACTAACACAACAATATCGAGTGCAGGTACAACTGATACAACTAACACAACTATACCAAGTACAGCTACAACTGATACAACTAACACAACTATACCAAGTACAGCTACAACTGATACAAGCAACACAACTATATCAAGTGCAGCTACAAATGATACAACTAACACAACTATACCAAGTGCAGCTACAACTGATACAAGCAACACAACTATATCAAGTGCAGCTACAAATGATACAACTAACACAACTATATCAAGTGCAGCTACAACTGATACAAGCAACACAACTATATCAAGTGCTGCTACTACTGATACAAGCAACACAACTATACCAAGTACAGCTACAACTGATACAACTAACACAACTATAACAAGTACAGCTACAACTGATACAACTAACACAACAATATCAAGTGCAGCTACAACTGATACAACTAACACAACTATATCAAGTGCAGCTACAACTGATACAACTAACACAACTATATCAAGTACAGCTACAACTGATACAACTAACACAACTATAACAAGTACAGCTACAACTGATACAACTAACACAACAATATCAAGTGCAGCTACAACTGATACAACTAACACAACTATAACAAGTGCAGCTACAACTGATACAACTAACACAACTATATCAAGTACAGCTACAACTGATACAACTAACACAACTATATCAAGTGCTGCTACAACTGATACAACTAACACAACTATATCAAGTGCAGCTACAACTGATACAACTAACACAACTATATCAAGTACAGCTACAACTGATACAAACAACACAAATAAACCAAGTACAGCTACAACTGATACAACTAACACAACTATAACAAGTACAGCTACAACTGATACAAGCAACACAACTATACCAAGTACAGCTACAACTGATACAACTAACACAACTATAACAAGTACAGCTACAACTGATACAACTAACACAACAATATCAAGTGCAGCTACAACTGATACAACTAACACAAGTATATCAAGTGCAGCTACAACTGATACAACTAACACAACTATATCAAGTACAGCTACAACTGATACAACTAACACAACTATACCAAGTACAGCTACAACTGATACAACTAACACAACTATATCAAGTGCAGGTACAACTGATACAACTAACACAACTATAGCAAGTGCAGCTACAACTGATACAACTAACACAACTATAGCAAGTGCAGCTACAACTGATACAACTAACACAACAATATCAAGTGCAGCTACAACTGATACAACTAACACAACTATACCAAGTGCAGCTACAACTGATACAACTAACACAACTATATCAAGTGCAGCTACAACTGATACAACTAACACAACTATAGCAAGTGCAGCTACAACTGATACAACTAACACAACTATAGCAAGTGCAGCTACAACTGATACAAGCAACACAACTATATCAAGTGCAGCTACAACTGATACAACTAACACAACTAAAGCAAGTACAGCTACAACTGAAACAACTAACACAACTATATCAAGTGCAGCTACAACTGATACAACTAACACAACTATACCAAGTGCAGCTACAACTGATACAACTAACACAACTATACCAAGTACAGTTACAACTGATACAACTAACACAACTATATCAAGTGCAGCTACAACTGATACAACTAACACAACTATATCAAGTGCAGCTACAACTGATACAAGCAACACAACTATATCAAGTGCAGCTACAAATGATACAAGCAACACAACTATATCAAGTACAGCTACAACTGATACAACTAACACAACTATAACAAGTACAGCTACAACTGATACAACTAACACAACTATATCAAGTGCTGCTACTACTGATACAACTAACACAACTATATCAAGTGCAGCTACAAATGATACAAGCAACACAACTATACCAAGTACAGCTACAACTGATACAACTAACACAACTATATCAAGTACAGCTACAACTGATACAACTAACACAACTATATCAAGTGCAGCTACAACTGATACAACTAACACAACTATACCAGAAGTACAGCTACAAGCTGAGTACAGCTAACGCAACTATAATAAGTGCGGCTACAGCTGATGCAACTAACACAACTATATCAGAGTGCGGCTACGAGCTGATGAAAAGCTATCACAACTATACCAAGTGCAGCTACAACTGATACAACTAACGCAACTATACCAAGTGCAGCTACAACTGATACAACTAACACAACTATACCAAGTGCAGCTACAACTGATACAACTAACACAACTATACCAAGTACAGCTACAACTGATACAACTAACACAACTATACCAAGTACAGCTACAACTGATACAAGCAATACAACTATATCAAGTACAGCTACAACTGATACAACTAACACAACTATATCAAGTGCAGCTACAACTGATACAATCAACACAACTATATCAAGTGCAGCTACAACTGATACAACTAACACAACAATATCGAGTGCAGGTACAACTGATACAACTAACACAACTATACCAAGTACAGCTACAACTGATACAACTAACACAACTATATCAAGTGCAACAACAACTGATACAACTAACACAACTATATCAAATACAGCTACAACTGATACAACTAACACAACTATACCAAGTACAGCTACAACTGATACAACTAACACAACTATACCAAGTACAGCTACAACTGATACAAGCAACACAACTATATCAAGTGCAACAACAACTGATACAACTAACACAACTATATCAAATACAGCTACAACTGATACAACTAACAAAACTATAACAAGTACAGCTACAACTGATACAACTAACACAACTATACCAAGTGCAGCTACAACTGATACAACTAACACAACTAAAGCAAGTACAGCTACAACTGAAACAACTAACACAACTATATCAAGTGCAGCTACAACTGATACAACTAACACAACTATACCAAGTGCAGCTACAACTGATACAACTAACACAACTAAAGCAAGTACAGCTACAACTGATACAACTAACACAACTATATCAAATACAGCTACAACTGATACAACTAACACAACTATACCAAGTACAGCTACAACTGATACAAGCAACACAACTATATCAAGTGCAGCTACAACTGATACAACTAACACAACTATATCAAGTGCAGCTACAACTGATACAAACAACACAACTAAACCAAGTACAGCTACAACTGATACAACTAACACAACTATACCAAGTACAGCTACAACTGATACAACTAACACAACTATATCAAGTGCAGCTACAACTGATACAACTAACACAACTATACCAAGTACAGCTTCAACTGATACAACTAACACAACTATACCAAGTACAGCTACAACTGATACAACTAACACAACTATACCAAATACAGCTACAACTGATACAACTAACACAACTATACCAAGTGCAACAACAACTGATACAACTAACACAACTAAAGCAAGTACAGCTACAACTGATACAACTAACACAACTATATCAAGTGCAGCTACAACTGATACAAACAACACAACTAAACCAAGTACAGCTACAACTGATACAACTAACACAACTATACCAAGTACAGCTACAACTGATACAACTAACACAACTATATCAAGTGCAACAACAACTGATACAACTAACACAACTATATCAAATACAGCTACAACTGATACAACTAACACAACTATATCAAGTGCAGCTACAACTGATACAGCTAACACAACTATACCAAGTACAGCTACAACTGATACAACTAACACAACTATACCAAGTGCAGCTACAACTGATACAACTAACACAACTATATCAAGTACAGCTTCAACTGATACAACTAACACAACTATATCAAGTGCAGCTACAACTGATACAACTAACACAACTATATCAAGTGCAGCTACAACTGATACAACTAACACAACTATACCAAGTACAGCTACAACTGATACAACTAACACAACTATACCAAGTGCAGCTACAACTGATACAACTAACACAACTATATCAAGTGCAGCTACAACTGATACAACTAACACAACTATATCAAGTGCTGCTACAACTGATACAAGCAACACAACTATATCAAGTGCTGCTACTACTGATACAAGCAACACAACTATATCAAGTGCAGCTACAACTGATACAACTAACACAACAATATCAAGTGCAGCTACAACTGATACAAGCAACACAACTATGTCAAGTATAGCCACAACTGATACAACTAACACAACTTTTTCAGGTACAGGTACAACTGATACAACTAACACAACTATATCAAGTGCAGCTACAACTGATACAACTAACACAACTATACCAAATACAGCTACAACTGATACAACTAACACAACTATACCAAGTACAGCTACAACTGATACAAGCAACACAACTATATCAAGTGCAGCTACAACTGATACAACTAACACAACTATATCAAGTGCTGCTACTACTGATACAACTAACACAACTATACCAAGTACAGCTACAACTGATACAAGCAACACAACTATATCAAGTGCAGCTACAACTAATACAACTAACACAACTATACCAAGTGCAGCTACAACTGATACAACTAACACAACTATACCAAGTACAGCTACAACTGATACAAGCAACACAACTATATCAAGTGCAGCTACAACTGATACAACTAACACAACTATATCAAGTACATCTACAACTGATACAACTAACACAACTATATCAAGTACAGCTACAACTGATACAACTAACACAACAATATCAAGTGCAGCTACAACTGATACAAGCAACACAACTATGTCAAGTATAGCCACAACTGATACAACTAACACAACTTTTTCAGGTACAGGTACAACTGATACAAGTAACACAACTATACCAAGTACAGCTACAACTGATACAACTAACACAACTATATCAAGTACAGCTACAACTGATACAACTAACACAACTATATCAAGTGCAGCTACAACTGATACAACTAACACAACTATACCAAGTACAGCTACAACTGATACAACTAACACAACTATACCAAGTGCAGCTACAACTGATACAACTAACACAACTATATCAAGTACAGCTTCAACTGATACAACTAACACAACTATATCAAGTGCAGCTACAACTGATACAACTAACACAACTATATCAAGTGCAGCTACAACTGATACAACTAACACAACTATACCAAGTACAGCTACAACTGATACAACTAACACAACTATACCAAGTGCAGCTACAACTGATACAACTAACACAACTATATCAAGTGCAGCTACAACTGATACAACTAACACAACTATATCAAGTGCTGCTACAACTGATACAAGCAACACAACTATATCAAGTGCTGCTACTACTGATACAAGCAACACAACTATATCAAGTGCAGCTACAACTGATACAACTAACACAACAATATCAAGTGCAGCTACAACTGATACAAGCAACACAACTATGTCAAGTATAGCCACAACTGATACAACTAACACAACTTTTTCAGGTACAGGTACAACTGATACAACTAACACAACTATATCAAGTGCAGCTACAACTGATACAACTAACACAACTATACCAAATACAGCTACAACTGATACAACTAACACAACTATACCAAGTGCAACAACAACTGATACAACTAACACAACTATACCAAGTGCAGCTACAACTGATACAACTAACACAACTATATCAAGTGCAGCTACAACTGATACAACTAACACAACTATACCAAGTACAGCTACAACTGATACAACTAACACAACTATATCAAGTGCAGCTACAACTGATACAACTAACACAACTATATCAAGTGCAGCTAAAACAGATTCAACATCACTGATTACTGCACAAATTGGCACTGTCACAACCAACACAACTATATCAAGTACAGTTACAATTGATACAACTAGCACAATTATACCAAGTACAGCTACAACTGCAACATTAACTGACAGAACCATTTCAAGCATTGGACCAGCTGTCAACACCACAGCATCAGGCACATCCACAACTTCAACACCAGAAACAACTGCCAACACCGTGTCATCGAGCGCACCAGCAACTTCAACACCAGAAACAACTGAATACAGCACAGCAAGTGCCAACGCCCGTAAAAGAAGAGCAGTTGGGGCAAATACAAGCTCTCAGGATATGTGGACCACATCTACTGCATCAATCAGTACAGTATCTATAACTACAACAAAGGGGAATACATTAACCACTCATCTCTGGCATACTACTTGCCCACCATGTGTTTATGATGTCTTTACAACACCACCCAGCGTGATTAGCACACTTTCCTCCAGTTTTACAACAACCAAAGATACTATCACCTCAGCCACATCAGAAGAAGGTAATCAACACATGTACACCAATATGTACCCACAAACATAACAAGATGGCCAATTTAAAGTCATTTCAAGTTATATTACAGCAAAATAAAAATAATATATTTATAATTTATAAAATGACATTGCAGGCCCCACCCCACCCTTTTGCTCTCTAACACATATATACATATATACATACATAGTTGAGGTACTCACAGTTCTGGATTGTAGTGAAATAAGTGCTTTGGTTTAATATGTGGAGCAGTTACCCCGGTGAGTAGAAGGGGTTTCTACCGCTAAGTGAGGGGTATTCTCAGCATCTAGTAATCATCCAGGTGGAGAAGCTCATAAAAGAGCTAGACGAGACTCTAGATTGAGGGTGAAGTAGCCCTTCTTTTATACACATTTCCCAACAAGGTTACCACCCACGTGGACCTTGTTGGGCACCGAAATGACAAACTTTACAACCAATCATGTACAGGCACACAGTTAAACACTTATTACAGTAAATCCCTCCCCTCTGCTTGGGAGATAATTGAGTTAATTACTGTATCAACTCAATTATCTCCAAATGAAAAAATATACTTTTTATACACTTTTTATAACTTCACGATTATACATCCAATCTTCATATTTTCAGAACCAGCATAACTAGGGGACAAACATATTCAAAAATCACTTGAATCACTTCAGGGGTTCGGGAGATAGGAGAAAGTCTCTTTTGCCCGACCGCACTCATGTTTTCATACCCAAAACAGTTCCACAGATTCAGGCTGTGCGGTCGGTCTATCTTCGCTTTCACATAAAGTACAAATTGTACAAACTGATTGGTTCGTGCTTACTGTCATTATATGCGGCTCGTTCAAGAGTTTATTCCCTAGAAATAGCGCTCTGTTCATACGAATTTAGCCGAACGCACGGAAGGTAGAAGTTTCAGCGGTGTTCGTGGAAAAAGTAGCTGAAATAGCTCCACACGTTCAACGACCAAACTGGTTGGGGATATTATTGCTCTGTTTAATGTTGGTAGGTGTTTGTGTGTTCTCTGAGTATCCTGCATGTTTCTTTCTCGTAGTATCATTTTTGCGCTAGGTTTGTTACCTTTTTGTGAGGTCATGTGCGGTAGCTAGTTTTGGTTAATCTAGGGTTTTAAAGATGTCCCCTGTTCTTACCTGTTTGTCTGTAGGTGTTATTCCGTGTGGGGAGTGGTGTTGGTTTGGGTGGTGGGTGTGTGTGGGGTATGAAAGGGGTGTCTGGGGGATCTGTGAGTGGGGGGTTGGGATTGTAAGGTGTTTGTAGCTATTGTGTTTGTGGGATGTCGTCTTGTGTAGTTGGTTATTGGTGATTCAGGTTGTTAATGGGAATACATAGAACCATGGGTCCCAAATTGTATTGAAATGTTTGGTCGTGTCATGGACCATTGCGGACATTTCGTCCATTTTAATTGAGTCTTTAATTTTCCGCTTTACTGTGTCTATTGTAGGTGTGTCTGGGCTTCCCCATTTTTCAGCGATTGCTCTCCTAGATGCGAGTGTGATCTTGGTGTATCGGCCATGGGTTTGGATAGGAGCCATATCCATGGGTCGTGTGGTATGTCTGTGTGCAGGATCTGTGATACCATGGTTTCTATTTGGTTCCATAGTTGTGCTGTGTGGGTACATTCCCCCCACATGTGAATGTATGTGCCTCTGTGCCCACAGTCTTTCCAGCATAGGTCGTTGTCCGACCTGCCTGTGGCAAAACCGACCTCGCCACTGGGCATTGAAGAAGACTGATTGCCAGCCTCCTGCCATGTGACTATGGCCCCTGGGATGTATTACCCTTTAAAAACACCATTTCATGTATCAGAGGCACATGGTAAGTACAATGGATGGAGCACATGGTGAGAACAATGGATGGCGGCCATTTTAACTCACAGACACTGTTTAGACTTTTCTACACGGTGCCTTCTCGCCAGTATTTGGTGCACGAAGACATCGTTCAGTAGTTTTAAACTATACAACAGGGGACACATTATACAGTTATTATTTTTCATATAGCCTGTATATGTTCTGCAGAATCTGCATTAAACTGTATCTTCCAAACTACTGAACGGATCTGGGTGAATTTTGGATATGTGGTTCACCCAGATCCCCCGGTTCCAATGATATATTTTTTTATGGCATGTTTTGGGGTCCCTGGGATGTGTTTTATGATACTGTATTTTTCCTGCTGGTGATAATTATGTTAACCCATTGTGTGACATAATTAGATCACAAGCAGAGGGGAGGATTTTGTGTATAATTGCTGGGAGTGTTTTCTGTAATGTACATGTGTTATTGGTTGTTCTGTAAAACCCTGTAGGCAGTACTAAGTTTGTGGATTGGGAATAAAAGAGGCTGTATGTGCCAGTCCAGGGAGTTCCTGTTTTAACCCTCAAAGTGAAGTGTCGTCTCATTATTGGGGGAAGGATTTATTGTATGCTGTTCCAGTTTGACTGCTAGGAGAGTAAACCTATTCATATGGTTCCTATTCAACTGTCTACAGCATTCATATGCTTGAGAGAAGGTATACGCTTCTCTGGTTCGGTGATTGTGGTGTCTGCTGCAGTGCTTGGAGTCCTCAGGAAGCACTAGGAGCATCTTTCAATGGAGGTACCCAGTCGGGGTGCCAGGCGATCCGTTACATTGGTGGCAAGCGGTGGGATGGCGTCCTAGTGCGAGGTAAAGCAGCTCAGAGACACCGTTTGTGGAGTTACAAATTGAGGGCAACGCTAGCACACGTGCAGCGCCCCTGGGAGCAGAGGTATCCAGCGACTTGGAGCAGACAAGTATGGAAGGCTCTGGCGATGATTGGCTGGCCGAGGTGAGGCAGCGTGTGGCCCAGTATGGTGAAAATGTGCCCATGGATATATTCCAGGCGATCTGGAACCAGGTCACAGCCGAGCGAAACACAAGGATGGACCGAGAATTCCAGCTGGCGAAAGAGTGAGACTATGCTCAGCGGAAGGAGTGTTACAGCAGCCAAAGAGAGGTTGCATTCAAGGAGGTTAACCGTTTCCCCCTGAGGCGGCCAGAGGAACCTGAAGTAGGGGTCCTCATAGACTTGTCCTGTGAGGAACCACAACAGGCAGGTGGAGATGGGACTGAGGTCTCTCCACCGGGCCCAACGGGATGCTGGGCAGCCGGCCCAGATCCCCAGCAGCAGCCGGAGTTAGCGGGTGCGGAAGCCAGTGGTCCTTACTCGCAAATGTTGAGGGACCTCACAGACTGGTCCTGGGAAGACCCACAGATGGCAGGTGGAGATGGGACTGCGGTCTCTCTACCGGCCCTACAGGGATGCTGGGCGGTCGGCCCAGATCCCCAGCGGCATTGTGTGTTACAGGGAGCTGAAGGTGCTGTCCTTCCTCCCCAGCGGCAGAAGGAGTTACAGGGAGCCAAAGGTGTCATCCTTCCTCCCCAGTGGCAGAGTGCGTTACAGGGAGCCAAAGGTGTCGTCCTTCCTCCCCAGTGGCAGAGTGAGTTACAGGTAGCCAAAGGTGCCGTCCTTCCTCCCTAGCGGCAGAGCGAGTTACAGGGACACAAAGGTTCCGTCCTTCCTCCCCGGCGGCAGTGCGAGTTACAGGGAGACAAAGGTGCCGTCTTTCCTCCCCAGCGGCAGTGCGAGTTACAGGGAGACAAAGGTGTCGTCCTTCCTCCCCAGCGGCAGAGTGTCCTGCAGGGAGCGGAGATAGTCGGTCTCACCTCCAAGAGGCAGGACAATATATTGAAAGGGGAGACAGTCGGTCCCCCTCTCCACCAGCAGAGAGAGTGTCAGGGAGAGGAGCCTGTTACCCCCTCTCCCCAGCGGCTGAAAGTGTGTAAGGAAGTGGAGCTTGTTACCCCCTCTCCCCAGCGGCAGCGTAGCCCACCAAGGGGAGATGATAAGCCCCACACTGGTGCAGATGGGACCGTGGTCTCTGTGCCCAAACCACAGGGGGTAGGGAGGGTCGGTCCTGTCCCCCAACAGCCTGTCTTCCCCTCCAGCAGCAACACCAGGTCCAGAGAGAGGAACCTACTAACCCTTCTCGTATGGTTCCTATTCAACTGTCTACGGCATTCATATGCTTGAGAGAAGGTATACGCTTCTCTGGTTCGGTGATTGTGGTGTCTGCTGCAGTGCTTGGAGTCCTCAGGAAGCGCTAGGAGCATCTTTCAACGGAGGTACACAGTCGGGGTGCCAGGCGATCCGTTACACTGCCCATCTGTTTAATGAGTGTATGCTTGTTCCTTGTGGTTTACGCATATGGATATTGTGGCAAACCTAGCCACTTGGACATTATTTAAGTACTGTCACTTTAAGGGTTGCCTGTATGTTTTTCGGGTTATGTGTGTTCCAGCGTGTAATGTAATTCAATTGTATAACTGTATTTCCTGCCTTGGCTATCTGCCGAAAGCAGATAGCTGATTCCCTTTCATTTCACGAACGGCACCTTTGTGGGCCGTTCGTGAACCGAACAAACCATCATTTAATAGCCCACACACTTAGAGACAATGTTGCAATCGGTAATTAGAGGCTCTCCAAGGTGGCCGTCGTTCGACTAACGACCATGCGGCGGTCGGCCATCTTGGATCCTTTGTTCCCTCAGCGGTGTTTGGTCGTCGAGCGCATGGTACTAAAAACGGCTACTCGACGGCACGAACACCGCTGAGCTTCCAGGCCGTTCGGGCGGTCCGGGCCGTTCGGTATCCTGTTCCCTTACATGCAATCGGCCTTTTGAAGATATGTTTTAATGAATGTTTTTTCGTTCGGCGTTCGGTTGTTTTAGCTGGGATCTGAGCGGTAATCTCACGAATGATGCGCTCAGACCCCAGCTATCAACCGAACGTCCATTCGTTTAAATAGCCCGTATATTCAGAGAGTTATACATTTTAATACGAATTGTAGGTTCTGCTGCACAGAGGGATAATCCACTTAACGGTACATTCCTGTGGGAGGATCCCTCTCGTGCAGCAGTGCCTGATGGGAGAAATGTCCTGTACAGTAAGTCCCCCATGTGTGTCGTCTAGTTCTTGGGAAGGAAGGTTTACTACAGTGCTACTTGGAATA